TAGTATACCACTCACTAAGCTGCTGAGGCGTCAGAGGCTCGCGTGAATGTCGCTGGAGCTGCATCTGGCCACCTGCCAGTAGCAGTAGCGCAGGAAAGGCAGGCGCGGCAGGCAGGCAAGCAAGCAGGCAGGCAGGCAGGCCGGCAGGTAGGCAGGCAGCCAGGCAGGCAGGCAGGCAGGCAGACAGGCAGGCAGGTAGGAGCTCACCAAAGGCTGGGAGAGCAGGGCCGGCGCTCGAGTAGGCGCACGACAGCGGCGACGTCGGGGCCGCAAAACCGGCTGCAGAGCAGGGCCGAAACAGCTGGAGGGCGCTGCCGCGTCAGCGGCAGTAGCAGGGTGGGGCCGCGTCAGCGGCAGGTCGGGGTCGTGGCAGCTGCAGGGCGGGGCCGCATCAGCGGCAGGTCGGGGCCATGGCAGCTGCTGGGCGGGGCCGCATCAGCGGCAGGTCGGGGCCGAGGCAAAGGGCCGCGCGCGGCCGCGCTAGGGAGTAGCGGGCCGCGCGCGGCTCGGCGCGGGCTGTTGCGGGCCGCGCGCGGGCCGTGCGAGGCAGGAGCAGGCCTCGCGCGGCTCGGCACGAGCTGCTGCGGGCCGCGCGCGGGCTGCGCGAGGCCGTAGCAGGCCGCGCGCGGCTCGACGCGGGCTGCGCGGGCTCGGCGCGGGCTGCGCGCGGCAGCTGCGAGCTGCGCGCGGCTCGGTGCGGGCTGCGCGCGGTTGCAGCGGGCTGTGCGCGGCTCGGTGCAGGCTGCGCGCGGCTGCAGCGGGCTGCGCGCGGCTCGGTGCGGGCTGCGCGTGGCTGCAGCGGGCTGCGCGCGACTCGGGGCGGGCTGCGCGATCTCGGTGCGGGCAGCGCGCGGTAGCAGCGTGTGTGCGGGCCCGACAGGCGTGTAGAGGCGGCGCGCGGGCCTTACGGGCCTCTAGGGGAAGCGCGCAGGCAAGGCAAGGCAAGGCAAGGCATACAAGGCAAGGCAAGGCTACGTGGGGTAGCGCGGTAACCGCAGCGGTAGGTGGGCCCGAAAAAAAAACGGTCCTACGGACCTTAGTGCTCTGAAACCATGTTAGAATCTAGTAGCAGGAATGAATGAACTAACAGGATGCAGGAGTACAAGTAGTAAACCCTAACTAGGTTGTACCCCATATGGGCTACCCCACTACAGCCTAGACAATATGCAGCACATATAGTTTGACACCTCCTTCCCCGCAATCCTCCTCGCAGCCTACTGCACACCCTGCTGGAGCCGGTGTTCGTGGAGAGGACCCTGCAGGTGCTAGCTCTAGAGGCGTTGGAGTGGGTGCAGAGAGCGTACCTGTGCCGAGTCTTGGTTCTGGGGGTGCTGGAGTTGAGGTTGAGCCTGTGGCTGCGGGCGACTCTACTCTTCCGGGAGTTGGTGCTACGTCTGGGGGTGCTGCGTCTGGGGGTGAGGGAACGAGTTCTGGTGAGCCTGGTCGTGTTACTGTTACTGGTGCTGACCCTGGGGGTGGTGCGCCTGGTGCTCTAGAGGGCGGTCCTGAGGCTGCTGCGGCCCCGGACACTACTCCTCCTCCCCACCCCTACCCGACCCGCCACCAGGCTCGTATTCGACGTGCCCGTGAGTTGCAGCGGCTCGAGGAGCAGCAGCAGCAGCAGCCGCCGCATCTGGAGCAGCAGCGGCAGCCGCAGGATCAGCAGCAGCAGCAGCAGCAGCAGCAGCCGCCGCAGCAGCAGCAGCAGCAGCAGTCGCCTCCTCCTCCTGTCTCTGGTCTTCGGACCCTCGGTCTTCCCTCTTGCTCTCCTTCCTCTTCCCCCTCTCCTCCTGTCTACGGTCCCACGTTTCCTCCTCCTGACTCCTCCCCCGCTGTTTTCCCCAGTTCGTCCTCCCCCTCAGTCGTCTCCTCCTCCTTCCCGCGCTTGGCCCTCTTGTCGCTCTCCTCGTGCTCGTCCCTCGTCCCCTGTCCCTCTCACTGACCTTCGCACTACCCTGTTCCGTCCTAGTCCGCCTCGTTCGTCTCCGTCTGTGCTTCCTTCTCCCCCTGAGTCGGCCCTCACTGCTTCCCTCTCTACTCCTGTCACTGACTACTACCGCACGTACTGTCCTGTTCTCTCTCGCGTTCTTGCCTCTCTTGTTACCCACCCTCGTGCCTCTCTGTCCTCTGTCTCCGCTCTTACTGCCGCAGTCACTGAGTTTGCCTCTACTCGCCGCCTTGACTACGCCACCAGTCTTGTGGCTGCTCCTCCTACCAGTCCTCTGGCCATCGGGGGTGTGTCTGCCCTTGGCTGTGACGCCCTAGAGGATAGGCAGTTTGAGCTAGAGTTCCTGGCAGCCGCTTCCCCTCATCTCTGTGCCATGCTCCTCTCCCCTGAGGGAGACCCCGACGCCCTTGACATACCGACTCCTCGCACTTACACTGAGGCAGTGTCAGGGCCTTGGGCCTCTCAGTGGAGAGCTGCCATGGACGCAGAGATGGCCTCCTACAGATCCACAGGCACCTACGTCGGGATCTCCTCCAGTCTTCAAGGCGCGCTACGTGGCTAGAGGTTTCAGTCAGCGCGAGGGAGTTGACTTCTTTCAGACCTTCGCGCCTACCCCAAAGATGACCACTCTTCGGGTGTTACTGCACGTAGCAGCACAGAGAGACTACGAGTTACACTCTCTCGACTTCTCTACTGCTTTTCTTCAGGGTAGCCTACACGAGGAGGTCTGGCTGCGTCGTCCATCAGCCTTCACTGGCACTTTCCCTCCCGGGACCCAATGGAGACTGAGGCGACCAGTCTACGGTCTCCGTCAGGCTCCTCGTGAGTGGCACGACACCCTTCGTTCTACCCTGTCTGACCTTGGTTTCCAGCCGTCTTCTGCCGACCCGTCACTGTTCGTTCGTCGTGGTTCCACACCGTTCTTTGTTCTTGTCTACGTCGACGACCTGGTTTTCGCTACTGCTGACAGGGTTGCCTTGGCAGACGTGAAGTCCGAACTGCAAAAGAGACACACGTGCACTGACCTAGGTGAGCTGCGCCACTACCTTGGCCTGCAGATCACCAAGGACAGAGCTGCTCGCACCATTACACTCTCACAGTCACACATGGTGCAGCAGGTCTTTCAGTGGTACGGGCTTCAGCACTCCACAGTAGAGCGCACACCCCTTGCTGTTGACCACAGACTCACTGGTCCCTTTCCTGATGAGCCGTTTGAGCCTAGTGGTCCCTACGCAGAGCTGGTGGGCTGCCTCATGTACCTGATGACCTGTACTCGCCCGGACCTCGCCTTCCCTCTCAGCATCCTTGCTCGCTTTGTTGCGCCAGGGAGACACCGTCCTGTTCACTGGACGGCAGCTGTGAGGGTGGCGAAGTACCTAGCGACGACATCAGGCGTGGGGCTGGTTCTTGGAGGGCAGCAGTCTGTCGTACTTACTGGTCACTGTGACTCTTCTTACGCTGACGACGCTGAGACTCTCAGGTCTACTCAGGGGTACTGCTTCAGTCTGGGTTCTGGAGCTGTTTCTTGGAGGTCCACGTGTTCCTCCTCGGTCTCGACCTCTACCGCTGAGGCTGAGATCTACGCTGGTGCCATGGCGGCACAGGAGCTGCGTTGGTTGACCTTCTTGCTCGCTGACCTTGGTGAGCGGCCGAGCTCTGCACCGACCTTGTTCACTGACAACAAGGCGTCGATTCTCCTCTGTCGAGAGCCGCGACTGGAGAGCAGAGTGAAGCACATTAACGTCAGGTACTTTCTTCTGCGAGAGTTGCAGAGGCGTGGACAGGCTCGCTTCGAGTTTGTGGAGTCCGAGGCCAACACTGCAGACATCTTCACCAAGGCGCTTCCGCCTTGTGACCACCAGAGGTGTTGTGTGCAGTTAGGCCTTGTTGACACTGGTTCTCGTCTTACGTAAGCTTGAGTTTACTGTTTGCTTTGCTTGTACACTTGCTATATACCTCTGTGAACTCTTGGACTGGCCTTGTGGCCTCTGTTGCTTGTGCTCAGAGTGTGTGGTGACGTTGTGATCCACCCTGTGCTTTATTTCTTTGAGACTGGTCTTGAGACCGTACACCTTTGGTTTTGTGTGTCACCCCTCACTTAGGCTATGGGGGTGTGTCAAATGTTGTAGCTTGTAGTGAGGTTTGTCTTAGGGGGTACAAATGTTAGGGTTTGTTATATGTACCCCAACCTGCATCAATGACACCAACACTTTCGATTCTGACACTGTGGGTGTGCCTATGTGTTGTTCTGAGGGTTGGATGTGATTTCGCTAAGGGGAAACTCTGCCGAAATTTCGTTGGTGCCGACACTTGTGAAGATTTCGTGGATCTACATTATGACCAGCGAAGGGGGAGCTGAAACCTTTGATTGGGAGCAAAGGAGATGAGTCAAGGGAGTGGAGATGCAGCTGAGAAGAGGAGTGAGCCGCCACCATCCAAGATTGAGGCGTTGGATGGCTCCAACTATGAGGAATGGAGCGGGCGGATGCGGAGTGCGTTCAAGCGCTACAAGCTGCTGAAAAATGCTATGGGAGAAGAGAAGATGCTAGAATAAGGAGATGCCCGTGATCGATGGATTGAGAAAAGTGCGGTCCTGTTTGACCTTATTCTACAATCGGTCAACAACAATATGTTTCAGCACATTAAAACCCGCAGCCTGAATTACAAAAAAAGTTGGGAGGTGTTACCTTCATCACCCGGATATACCATCCTGAACACCTCCCCTCCCGAACTAGGGTGGTTACCAGGTCTCACCTTCAAAACGGGTTGAAAGTCGCAGGGTGCGTAGGGAAGGATCGCAGGGGTCTCACCACCACTCGAAATGTGCACACCAATCTCGAAATGTGTAACAGAGAAAAAACAGAGTTCAGGGCCAAACTTGGGAGAGTCATAACTTAGAAGAGTCACCGCACCGAGTACCACGCCGGTTTAGGGTTCCGCCTTACGCTCTGAGACCATGCCTCCATTCCGACGGAATCAGTCGCCCTTGCTGAGCCGCGCGCCTTACATCTCGTTTTCACTGCACGTAGCTAGCCATGCCATTCACGTGCATATGCCCATCGTCGTCCGCTGTTTCGCCGCCCCTTCGCCAGGCGCATCGATGTCGCGGTTGTTCCTAGCCACGCCCGGTTCTATGTCCAGGGTATTGCATTCCGCGTTACTCAGATTTCGTTCCATTAACATCGTCGCCGTCGCCTACGTTCACTCCCCTCCGTCGCCCACGCGGTAAGGCCGTCGTCGCACACTTCCCTCCACCGCCATACCGCACTCCCCTCCCGTCGCCTTCGCGCACTCCCCTCCCGTCGTCTTCGCGCATCCCCCTCCCGTCGCCTTCGCGCATTCCCCTCCCGTCGCCTTCGCGCATTCCCCTCATTAGAGGATATCTGTGCACTCCCTCCCGTCACTCACGCTTCCTTCCCGTCGTGCGATCACGCTCCCTCTCCTCCCGTCGCCTTCGCGCGACGCCTCTTTCGCCCCTCCTCACTACCCTCCGTCGCCCAGCTCACTCCCCTCTGTCGCGCTCGGTAACTCCACTTCCGTCGCCCACACGCACTTCCTTCCGTCGTGTGCGCGCTCTCCCTTCCGTCGCTAGCGCTCGTGACCTTCCCGTCGCCCTCGCGCCCCTTCCGCCGCACACCGCTTGGGGCGCACGGCCGATTCTCCCCCGTCGCACACTGGCGCCCTCGCTCTCCCTTTCCATCTCTTCCCGTTCTCCCAAATCACGACGGCACGTCCTCTCTTTCCGTATCCTCATCCCATCTCCTCCACTCCCCATCCCTCCTCCCCCCCTCCCTCCACCCCCCATCTCTCCTCTTCCCATCCCCATCCCTCACCTCACCATCCCTCACCTCCCCGTCCCTCACCTCCCCATCTCTCACCTCCCCATCCCTCACCTCCCCATTCCTCATCTCCCTTGCCTCATCTCCTCATCTCAAACGATCACTCTCCCCCCCCCACCCTCGTGTTGCGCAATTCCCCTGACGTCCACGCTCACTCCCTCACCCCCGTCGCCCACGCAAACTCTCTTTCCGTCGCTCATCTCACCATTCCGCCCCAATCCATTCCGCCTCACCCCATTCCGCCTCACCCCATTCCACCTCCCCATCCCTGATCTCCCTATCCCTCACCTTCCCATCCCTCCCCTCCCCATCCCTCATCTCCCCATCCCTCATCTCCCCATCCCTCACCTCACCTCCCCATCCCTCACCTCCCCATCCCTCACCTCCCCATCCCTCATCTCCCCATCCCTCACCTCCCCATTCCTCATCTCCCCTTGCCTCATCTCCTCATCTCGAACGATCACTCTCCCTCCCCCACCCTCGTGTTGCGCAATTCCCCTTTCGTCCACGCTCACTCCCTCACCCCCGTCGCCCACTCAAACTCTCTTTCCGTCGCTCATCTCACCATTCCGCCTCACCCCATCCCACCTCCCGTCCTCACCCCCTCCCCTCCTCTTCCAAACCCATCCCTCCTCATCTTTCCCCATCCCCTCCTCTTGCCATCCCCATCCCTCACCTCCCCATCCCTCATCTTCCCATCCCTCTCCTCCCCATCCCTCATCTTCCCATCCCGCTCCTCCCCATCCCTCACCTCCCCATCCTTGCTGCTGTTGCTGTAATTGATGCGGAAACCCGCCCTGTGTGCCCCTCCCCGCGTCACCATCCCCGCCAACCCCATCCCATCCCCTGCCCTCAGGGATGGGGTGGACGCGAGGTGGAGGAGCGGGGGCGAGTCGTCGTGCTGAGTCGGGGGCGCCGTGACACCGTGGGAGGCACCAATTCCGCCCCACCCCATTCCGCCCCACCCCATTCCGCCCCACCCCAATCCGTCCCACCCCATTGCCTCCTCACCCCTTTCGGCCTCACTCCATTACGTCTCAACACGTTCCCCCTGTTTCCCTTCCCGATCGCCCTCTCCCTTTTTTCCCTCCAGAGCCTCGATCTTATTCTTCCCCATCCCCCTCTCCCCTGTTTCCCCCCTTCCCGCCCCCACACCTTCTTATGCAGGGGCAACCGGAAGCGCGTGCTACAGGTGAGCCACAACACAACATGCTCTGCTGTGCGGTTGTGTGCGGTGCGGTTCTGTGCTCTGTAAGGCTCTGCGGTGCTGTGCAGTGTGGTGCTCTGCTCTGCTGTGCAGAGCTACGCGAGACGAGGTGCTCTGCGCTGCTCTGGGGCTCTGCGGTGCTGTGCTGTGCTCTGCTTTGCGCACACCACTCCTCTCCATACTCCCGAACCATCCCTCCTCTCCCCATCCCTCACCTCCCCATCCCTCACCTCCCCATCTCTCCTCTCCCCATCCTTCCTCTTACCATCCCTGTTCTCCCATCTCTCCACTCCCCATCCCTCCTCTCCCCATCCCTCCTCTTACCATCCCTCCTCTCCCCATCCGTCCTCTCCCCATCCTCTCCTCTCCCCATCCTCTCCTCCTCATCCTCTCCTCTCCCCATCCTCTCCTCCTCATCCTCTCCTCTCCCCATCCTCTTCTCTCCCCATCCTCTTCTCTCCCCATCCTCTTCTCTCCCCATCCTCTTCTCTCCCCATCCTCTCCTCTCCCCATTCTCTCCTCCCCCACCCCTCCCCCGATCGCTCTGCGCGGCCTCATTGCAGGGACTCCTCGCACGGAGAGAAGGGGAAAGGGATGAGAGTAAGGCGACGGGTAGGGGAAGAGGATGATTCGACGGTGAAAAGAGAGTGCAGGAGAGAGAGAGTGGGTTAAGCCACCTGTGTCTCCCTCCTCTTGTCTCCTCTTCTGCTGTCGACACCTCCTATCACCCTCTGCTGCTCTCTCCAGCTCACACTTCGCGAGCTACACCTTGTTTCGTCCCATGTACGTCCCCCCTGTTTCGTCCCATACCCTCACAAATGTTTTCCCCATCCCCCTCCCCCTTGTCTCCTCCCGATTCCGCCCAACCCCTTTCCGCCCCACCCCATTCGTAGCCCACCCCATCTCCTCCTAAACCCATTCCGCCACACCCCATTCCTCCACAACCCATTCCGCCACACCCCATTCCGCCCCACCCTATTCCGCCACACCCCATTCTGGCACATCCCATTCCGCCCCACCCCATTCCGCCACACCCCATTCCGCCCCACCCCATTCCGCCCCACCCCATTCCGCCCCACCCCATTCCGCCACACCCCATTCCGCCCCACCCCATTCCGCCCTATCCCATTCGCATCCCACCCCATCTCCTCCTAAACCCATTCCACCCCACCCCATTCCGCCCCACCCCAGGCGTAGCCCATCCCATCTCCTCCTAAACCCATTCCGCCCCACCCCAATCCGTCCCACCCCATCGCCTCCTCACCCCTTTCGGCCTCACTCTATTACGTCTCAACACGTTCCCCCTGTTTCCCTTCCCGATCGCCCTCTCCCTTTTTTCCCTCCAGAGCCTCGATCTTATTCTTCCCCATCCCCCTCTCCCCTGTTTCCCCCCTTCCCGCCCACACGCCCTCTTCTGCAGGGGCAACCGGAAGCGCGTGCTACAGATACTGCTGTGGCGAGCGTGTGTTTCTGCTGACAAGAGTCACAAGGTGAGCCACACCACAACATGCTCTGCTGTGCAGTTCTGTGCTCTGCTCTGCTCTGCTGTGCAGTGCTACGCAAGAACCGGTGCTCTGCGCTGCTCTGCGGCTCTCCGCTGCTCACCTTCCTCTCCTGCCTCTCTTTCCTCTATTCTCTCCTCCCTCACTTTCCTTTTTTCCCTCACCTCCCTCCTCTCCCTTCCTCTCTCCCGTCACCACACCTCATTTCCCCTGTTTCTCTCTGTCTGTCTCCTCTCATACACTTCCAGGTGGCTGTGCAACGGGGTGAGCTAAAAGAATCCATTCGTGGACCATCTGCTACAGTATATCATACTAGCAGATTCTGTCTCGAAGCGTTATACTTTGTCCCTCAACAAATATACCTTTATTTGATCTCATTTGGTTCCTAATTCTGGCGACTCTTGATTCTAAGATTGAATTGTAAAAAACGGGCCACATGAGGGCACAAAACATAGCGCACGTGAGTATTACCGTACTATTCTTTATTGAAATCCTGCATACAACATCATGTACGTGAGTCATTCTAGGTTGAGATCACAACATCGTGGTCAGGCCCGGGAAACAAACGAGTCGGTAAATTACACAGTAACACAGATATACACACTTGGTGTTTGGCAAACACGATGAGGAATTGAATGACCAAGCCATTTTGTCTGTGCCTATTTGCGGTGCTCCTACTCGGTCAATACCGTCATCACCCGGATATACCCCTAGGCCTACCGTCATCGCTCGGATAGTAGACAGTGTTGAATAGTAGACAGGGGTTGTCTATTATCCGGGTGTCTCTTATAAACAGGCTAGCCTCATTATAAGACACCTACAGTATCCCCCCGGACAGTAGCGCATATGCGCTTATAATTGAGTTTCGGGCATAAGCGCATGTGCTTATAAAATGACAAATACAAATTTATACTTTTAGGGTAGCAAACTGTACCTTTCATTGTTGCCATTTCAATTGAGTCGAAATAATAGAGCGTCACAAAGCAGAATCGCGCGGAAGCGATTCTGCTTCCTGCACAGAGGCAAATTCGCGTCAGTGTGCAGGCATGCCAGCACATCCTGACTGGACGCGCAGCCAGTTAGGTCTTCGCGAGTCAAACGAAGCGAAAATGAGATTTGACTCGCTGCAAAAATGAAATTCGTTACCTTTTGTACAAGATTTAATATAAAAAATGTACGTAGGCTTATAATAAGTAAAGGTTTCCTAAGGGGGGCGCTTATAATTGAGGACCGGCCATAAGCGCATGGCTCCAGATAGAAGCGCCGGCGCTTTTAATAGGACGGCGCTTTTATCTGGGGTGATACAGTATTTGTGTGTACGGATTAAACAAGTGTAGGGGCTAGGGGCAATTGTATCACGAGGGGGTTTCTTCTAAACGGTTCTTTGTCCATTTATAAGACTTATAAGACACCCTAAACCGTCCCAAATACAAGACAACCCAAGCATTTTTGCCCGTGTACGAGATAAGACATACAGATCTGGGCGATGACGGTATGTTACACCCATGGGCTTATAATCGGACTAGTATGTCAGAAACTACAGGCAAGAATGAATGCATTGAAAGAGAGTTGGGTACAAGTATCAAACCCTAGAGGGGTTGTACCCCATATTGGCTACCCCACTATAGCCTACACAAATATAACATGCATATAATTTGACACACCCCCATAGGCAAAGTGGGGGAGAGCAAGGGGTCACAAGACCAGTCAAGAAAAGCAAAGCAAGCTCAGGGTGGATCACAACATCACCACACACTGAGCACAAGCAAAGGGCCACAAGGCCAGTTCACATGCAGAGGTATATATGCAACAAGCACAGTACAGTGATCACTACCTAGCAAGAACAAGCATGCAGGTATATATATATATGGATCACAGTACAAGCAGAGTCTACAGCAAGTGTGGAAACGTAGGCAAAAGGCCCAACAAAGTTCAAAAGCGCTGATGGTCACCAGACGGAAGTGCCTTGGTGAATATATCAGCAGTGTTGGCCCGAGTGGCCACGTGTGCAAGACGAAGCTGACCACGCTGCTGCAACTCTCGAGCCAGGAAGTAACGCAGAGCTATGTGCTTCGTTCTGTGCTCCAGTCTGTGCTCCTCACACAAGGCAATGGCGGCCTTGTTGTCGACGTACAGAACTGGAGGAGAACGAGGCCGCTCTCCCAGGTCGGTCAGCAGGTAAGTGAGCCAGCGTAACTCCTAAGCAGCCACGGCGGTGGCGTAGATCTCAGCCTCACAACTGGAGTTGAGAACAGAAGACGAGCGAGTAGAACGCCAAGAAACAGAACCGGAGCCAAGGCTGAAAGTGTAACCCTATGACGACCGCTGCATAGCCTGGTCGTCAACCCAAGAAGCGTCTGAGTGCCCAGTGAGAACCACGTCTCTCCGCCCTCCAAGCACGAGCCCCATGCTCGATGTACTGCACAAGTAGCGTAGTACCCTCTTCGCAGCATCCCAGTGCACCTTTCGGTGTCGACCAGGAGCCACGTAGCGTGCCAGAAGGCCAAGAGGGTACGCAAGGTCAGGACGAGTGCAGGTCATTAGGTACATGAGGCAGCCCACTAACTCTGGGTAAGGACCACTCGGCTCTACGGACTCGTCCGAAGGTGGAGCTGAGAGCGAGTGACCTGTAGCCAGAGGAGTGGATTGTGGCGAGGACCAGGTGAAGCCGAAGCGCTGAAGGACCTGCTGCACCATGTGTGACTGAGTCAGAGTGATGGTGCGGCGTGCTCTGTCCCGGGTGATCTGCAAGCCAAGGTAGCTGCGCAGCTCATCCAGGTCTGTGCACGTGTGTCTCTTCTGTAGCTCCGACTTCACCAGGGCGAGGGCCTCAGTGTCAGCAGTGGCAAAGACCAAGTCGTCGACGTACACGAGAATGTAGAACGGCGGCAGCGAAGTGTCGGTGCGCAGAAACAGCGACAGGTCAGCAGTCGAAGGAGCAAACCCAAGAGCCGCAAGTGTAGTCTTCAGTGTGTCGTGCCACTCACGAGGCGCCTGGCGGAGACCGTAGACTGGCCGCCGGAGGCTCCACTGGGTACCAAGAGGGAACGACCCAGTGAAGCCAGGTGGGCGGC